AACTGGAATGCGTTTCTGGTACGCACTTAACTTTGCGTCCAGCACCTACACGTAGTATTCGCATACTGTAGTTTACATATACCGAATGAAACCAGCCTCTGTTGCCCAGATGTAAACACGTTTTGCAATTGTATAGTTTGAAAAGTCAGACCTTCGTAACTGTATGCACATAACGAAGCATTTATAAGCAAAGTTGCATCTAAATGTAAAACAGTGACAAATAGTGTAACTTTACCTTCCCAAGGGAAACTCTTCTCATCTTGCAGAAGCAGCCCGCAGCGGTAGAATGCATTTGTGCTGTAAACTGCAGGGTAGATGAGTAGGGTTTACATTTGATGATGTTTCTTTTTTAAATAGATTTTTTTGAACCGTGAATTTATTTTGCTTTTTTCCACGTTCATTTGTATGTGTGTGCGGGTGCAAAGGGGAGGAAAAACAGCATTTGGGTGTCTGTAGCAAGCCAAGACCCCGCTATTTGTGCCCTCCCGAAGGAAGGAGCTATGTAGGAAATCCATACTGAAGGCACACTTGTGTTCGTTATTAGACAGACTTCACTTCCCAGATACCGTGGTTCATTTAGGAGCCTGTCACGCTGTTACGTTCTCTGTTGCAGATGGTCATGATGAGCCACTCAAGGAGTTCACGTTGAAAGGTAAATGTGAATTTCTCCTGAGAAATTCATTGTGTCAGCATTTTTTCCTGTTCACGTCTCCGCTTCCCCAGTTAACCCAATACGCCATTTTAATGGAGAGATGATTGGGGGGTAGAATGCGCACCTCTTTATCACCACACCTGTGTCTCAGGGCCTTTGCGCTGCAACAAGTGAAAAGAATGTCTGGCATTTGCAGCTTCTGTTGCTGCTTCTCCTTTAGGTTAGGCTAACAGGCGCACAACCAGTTGTTTTGACAGCTGACGTGAACAGGGCTTTGAGTGGCAAGAGGCCTCCTCTTGAGGGACTAGATCCTCCCCGTGAAGTGTAGTCGGCTCTCTGGCTTCGGGTACAGGTAAGTTTGCGGATGACAGTCTCCCTTTAGCAGTACGACAGACCTAAAGCTAGGAAACTGAAACCGAGGCTGGACTGTACCTTAAACCACTGCCTTCTAACGGTGCGCGTTCAGAACACTACAGCAGCAAAGTCAGTATGAACACGAGGGTGAGCGCGCCAAAGGACGAGCGGGACCCACCTCGGCAGAAACGCTGGGTAACTTGACAGCAGCTGCAGGAAGAGTGACTGAGATGGGTACTGGTTAGACGAGCAGTATGGTTGATCCTGAGCTGCTGCAATGCAGACTCTCTCAGTCGAGTTCAAAGCTGTCTTGCTTCTGGTCATTAGGTTCAGAGAACAGCCTGAAGCTTAGTGGTTTGGGTTTGCTTTACGTTGTTTGAGAATAAACGTGATCGCAAGCCCCTGGCTTGTTTATGTTTATGTGAAGTTGTTGCAGGATCAAAGAAAAGCAGCCAGGAAACTAATGTTTACACCGATTCCTCCTCTAGGTAGGCTTCCAGATTTCACCCTTCTGCGGAGCTAGCTTTTCTTGTAATTGTTTTGTTCAGGGCCCCACTCCACCGTGCTTCTGAGCTACCTACTTTTGTAGACCAATGGCGATTCAAGCCAATATTCAAGCATTAAAACTCCTTTGCCTTATTTTGCATATGCGCAGACATCTTCCCCCAAAAAATCAAGACTTCACAGGGGATCACGCCTGCATTCCTCTGTCATGCAAAAGTGTTAGAAATAAGATGAAAGTTGTACTTGCAACTACCTACTGCAGCACGGAAAGACACAGACAAAAAGATTATCTTGAAGTAAGAAGAAATAGTAAATACGACGGGCTACTAAGAAGCTCGGAAAGTACTGTACGACGAGATGGTCAGGCTGGAATCGTGATTGAGGATTCTAAAAATTTTGTTTTCTGTACGCACACAGACTGCTCTTTGATCTTAAGCAAGGCATTTGTGCCGTAATTCCCTGCTTTCCTGCATCATTCAGTACTTCACGGCAGTATGAAACGGGTGGTGAAAGTCACCAGGTAAGAACAGTATGTTAGAGCTCTGCTGATGATTGCTTTGAACAGTTAGTTTAACGTTTATGCTAATACAGCTCGCCAAACCCAGAATCCCTTATATGTAAGGAGGATATTATTTTGCAAACTCTGATTTTCACCGCTGTTGAGGACCGACCGACTGACTGACTGACTGACTTTGAGACTGAGAGTATGAAAGACCCTTTGAAAAATGAGGTCTCTAATGGCTTATTCCACCAACAAAAAAAATGAAGCACCTCCAGTTCTTTTAAGCCTTAACATATCTGTATGTCTGTGAAAAAGGGAAAGGAGCATTTATTAAGAGAAATCTCTTTTTTACTCGGTTGAAGGCAGAAGAATATTGAGAGATGAAATGCTTACTGTCTCTTTCCAGTGTAGTTTTTTTAGAGAAAACATATTTAATTTTTGCTCAGCTGTAGTGATTCTTTGCTTTTCGTTTACTGGAAATCTTACAGGCGCTTGATTTTGATGGATTTGAGGGGATTAGAGCTGCTTACTGATCTGTTTACCTTGTGACTATGGGAATATTAAATACTTGCATCCTGCGATGCTTCCCTTTCCTGCCTTGCCTAATAAATGGCTCTGAACTGCGCCAGACTCTTAATACTCTGCAGTTATTACGCATACGCTGCTTGCAGCATACGTAAGAGTTCCTCTGCTTAGCTGATTTCAGTTCATTTGCCATTAAATAATTCCTAGAATTGCCGTGTGTCCGTCCAATGTGTTCTGCAGGGGGAGCAATTCTCTAAAGGCAGCTAAACAGTTCCCTTCAGAATAGCTTGTCATTGGCCGTTCGCGCAGAGCCCTGCTATTCTTCTTCTCCATCAGCAATATTATACAGAGCAACCCTGGAAGTCTGCCAATGGTTGTGACAGAGCGTACACCTTTTCAGTGACTATAGCTTGGGGTGAGGGGGGTTGGTAGGCTAAAATAGTATGGTCCCAGTCTTCCATAGCGATCGTGACAGGCTGCTACCGGGGCTCTTCCACTACTGTTTTGTATGTAAAATTTTATATGCCAAAAAACAGTGGTGGGAGAGTCCTATCCTTCCATCTGTTTACGTATTTATAAAGACAGGACTCTCCCACCACCTATAGATTACATTTTTTAATGTATCGATACATATTTGCAGCTGCAGTGTTCTGTTTTGTTCTTGAGACTTGAAAAATTTGAGCTAGTTCAGATCGGAATCATCACTAATAGCACGACTAAAACCCTGGATACACAGCCCTTTAAGGGTAAATACAGTGTTGCTTTCAAAACAACCTATATTTTGCTCCCACTATCGAAGATGAATTGTCGAACCGTAGGAAACTCCTGCCCCCACGCTCTCACATTTTATGCGTTTGTCAGCAGCAGCCACTTGGTGAAAGATGTATCTGTTTTGAGAGAGAGAGAGGACAGAAATGCATCTACCAAGTTAACTAACTAATGTTTGACTCATTTTGTGGAAAGACGCTTTTGTTAGCCCCTACCCTCCCCC